ATTAATTTTAACCTTAGCGTTCCCGTTATGCCCCGGGTTCCCCTACCTTATATAATAAGTCAACTGCTTGCTTTTAATTGCGTAAATTTTACAACTTTTTGTAATTTTTCATCACGTATAAATAAGTATTTGCAGAACAAAGAGAGTAAGAATTTTGTTGTAAAAGTACATTAATTTATACACATTTAAGTACAATTTATATATTTCCGTTATTAATAGTGTAATCGCTATACTTTGTATGTATGTACTTTTACATACTTTTTTTACAGTGTAGACGCGCAATCTGTAAGTTGCTTTTCTCCTCGCAACTTCGCGACTCGATGATTTTCACGATAGCGTATGTTCGACTCGGTCAAATTGAATGGCACAACATAAACGTCATTGCGTCAAGATGAAAAGGAATTTCGAAGATTTTGCATTTAACGACTCCGGCATTTCTCATTTGAGTTTAACACTCAACTCTTATCGCGTCGCTGTATTCAGTTTATCTAGCTAACTTAAATGATAATTTGAGTTAAGCTTCGAACGTAGCGGATATTCGAGATTAGCGCGCATTGGATCAAATCCGTTTAGTTCAAGTTAGATTATGTTTCGGTTAGAATTAGATCAGGTCTCTCAGTACACAATATCGTCGTATACCACTTCGCCGATGGGATTTCTGCAATATCCTTTGTAACGCAGCGATAATTGTACCTACCTAGGTTCAACGAAAAAAAAAAGAAATTAAATTATCGGGTGCGAAGATGATAATAGCGAGATAATTGCTTTCTCGTGCTTCTCGTGATTCGCGACTCGAGCTCGATGATTCTGCGATCAAGCAGCACACGCTCGGGCTAACCGTGCCTGGGATTAGTCGGTCGGTCGCACGGACTAATAAATTCTGAGCGCGGGGTCCACCCACTCGAAATCGGTAAGGAAGCCTCCGGTGCACGCTGCGCTCGCTTTCCTGCACGCGACGTCGACGAGATTTAATTGAGCGGCCACGGGTATAACCTACGCTCCCATTACCTTCCGGCCGGCTGACCCGTCCTTTCACCCTTCGCCCGGTGCACCCGCCGGCGTTTCCAACTTTCGTCGCATATACGTGCCGAGTCGCTGGTGCGACTCCGATGGCTCCGTCGTTTCTCCCCGTGGATGCCGCGTGGATGCGAAATAATTCACGATAGTCTGGATAGGTTGGCAGATACAGATTTGCGGAGTGGTGCTTCGAATTAAAAAGAGAAGGAGTCGCGTCTGTCGCATACCTTTTGAAAATGTTAACGTCGTTTAAACATTTCGTTTCTTGATTTTTTTATTTTCGCGTTATTAGCGATGTACATTCGCGTGCCATGTAAGATCCAGAAATCGCTGAATCTTTGGTAAAGATTGTTTTCCGTTTTGACGGTATTTTTTTCCATCGACTTGAAACAGAAATCGTAACCGGATGTATATTAATAGAATCTTTTTTTGTCAATTCGTTTTTTTTTCTTTTAGAAGTATCTACTTTTTAACGATATAAGTAATGAAAAATTTGAGTTGAAATGAAAATGCTGTCCTGGCGTATCTTTTAAAAACACATCTTTAAAAACACTTTTTAAAATAATTAATCCCTAAATTTTCAATTTGCTCATGAGCTCGCAAAGCTTTCTCTATGAAGAAAATTTGAATCGACGAATTTTCAATACCTTTTCGCAAATTAGAAATTTGCACTTATAAACTTTCACAAGAAACTAGGCCACATTATGAGGAAGCAATGTGCAAATTTCCAATTTACATTCATAAAATTGCACAAAAATTAGGCCACATTATTTTCAGAAGTATCTACTTTTTAACGATATAAGTAATTAAAATTTTGTGTTGAAATGAAAATGCTCTCGTGGCGTATCTTTTAAAAACACTTTTTAAAATAATTAATCCCTAAATTTTCAATTTGCACATCAGCTCACAAAGCTTCCTCTATGAGGAAAATTTGAATCGACGACTTTTCAATACCTTTTCGCAAATAAGAAATTTACACTTATAAACTTTCACAAGAAACTAAGCCACATTATTTTCAGAAGTATCTATTTTTTAACGATATAAGTAATTAAAATTTTAGGCCGAAATGAAAATGCTGTTCTGGCGTATCTTTTAAAAACGCGCGCAGTTAACTTTAGTACATTCAAATGCTGTAACAATTTTCGGAAGACGCTATTGTTTTGTAGTGGTATTGTTATTAATCCGTTTTGTTATTTTGCGAGCCTGTGTTAACCGAGAACTAGTTTGAAATCTAGCTGTGAGTCTGCAACGGTGTGTTAGTAGATTGCAACGCACGTGTCTCCGTTAGTAAGCCCAATTTTATGATCACATTCGTACTCCGAAATCGAAAAGTATCGTCCGCCGATAATCTATATCCTGGTGTTTTGAGTCTGGCTCTCCAATGGATTCTGCTCAAAATACGAGTGATTGGATACTTCCGTTCGTCCGACGGTTGGGAAAATACCTAATGGATTTTTGCGTATTGTGCCGTTTGTCCTGGGAAAACAGGACAAATACGTAAGCCCCATTGTACCCCATTTTTTGTCCATTGTATATCTTGCTTATGATACGATATTCACTGTTAAAAAAAAACCACGGCGCTTTATGTGAATCCTATTGTTTGATATTATGTTCCGTATTGTGTGTAGTTTATTGGCTAATAAATGCCGTACTCCACTTTTTCATTCCACGACCGGACAGTATTTAAATTACTGTTGCTACGATCGGTCGCACAAAGGCCAATCTTTTATTTTGCGTCAAACGTTTTTCCGTGCGTTTTTTTTTTAATCAAATCTCTCTCGTATACTTTTTCGAATCTTCTTATCAAACATTTCGCTCTATTTTATACAACGCAACATGGCTTTTACGTATTTGTATATTTCGCGCGGCAGGATAAAAATTAAATTACAAACGAAACGTTTCAAGGAAAGGTATTTGAAAATTTTCTCAATCGCCGACTTAAGAAATTGTCAATGGGGAAACACTCGAAATATTAAGATAAATTCGACACTAAGGTGATCAAAGAATTCGCATGTGAAACGTAGCGCGGGGGAGACTTGGGGCGCTCGATAGAAATTTTTAAGATCTCATTTCTACGTTGCGGATGCAAGCTTTCGTAGAAGGCGAAGAGATATAGAAAATTCGCGCTCGGTCTGATATGAAAGAGGAATGTTACCCATAGACTTTTCAGTGATTTTCTTCCGCTGAAGTGAGCTGAAGTTTAATATAATATGTGAAACGCGGGCGCAAAGTAGATGGATGACTCGAAGAAATGGTTGGCAGGTGTTGTCGTGGACTGGTGGCGCAAAGAATGTTCATGAATTCGCTCCCGACGTAGCGGCCGCCCCGGGGAAACTTCTTATCATAACGTCGGACAATGCTGACGAAGCGACACGTAACGCGTGTGCCGCTTTAATGCATTCAACTGATAAACTCGTGTTATTTCGATATAGCCAATCAACTATGCAGTGGTAAACCAGAGTTATCCCGAGATAGGTAATCAACTATGCTGCGGTAAACCGAAATATCACACGTAATACAAGGCTGAAGTACACAATATTACAGCAGCCATTGTTAAACGGCATAATGTCCACTCGTAAGTTGCAATATTCGCCGCGACCCTCCCGGAAAATATTTCACGTAAGTTCGATCCCAGGCGCGAGACGGGCAGATCCATTAGTCATCACGCGCTGATAAATTCCGTCGCCGACATCGATAAAATATTTTGACACACAATGTGGGGTAATCCCTTTCCCAGCTGTCGAGGTACACGTACGTA